GAATTCAAGTTAGATGGTTGAAGTGGAGGAATGCATCGGGCTTGTTGTGCGATACAAAAGTCCCCCTCAAACTTAAGAGAAAATTCTATAAGATGGTGGTGATACCTGCAATGCTTTATGGTGTCGAATGTTGGCCATTAAAAGATAAGCATAATACTAAATTAAGTGTTGTAGAGATGAGGATGCTTAGGTGGATGAGCGGCTTTACCCTTAGAGATAGGATATGAAATGAGCATATACGTGAAAAGGTTGGAGTAGCTCCAGTGGAATATAAGATTAGAGAGAGTTGCCTTAGATTGTTTAGTCATATTAAACGGAGGTCTTTCGATGACCCGATCAGGAAAGTTGAGGTATTAGATTTGAATTCAAGTTGAGGTATTAGATTTGACCTAAAAAGACTTGGTTAGAAAATATTAGAAATGAACTTTCTTTATTAAATCAAAGTGAGAATTTGACTTTTAACAAAACAAAATGGCGAAAAAGGATTCATGTAGCCGATCCCACGCAGTGGGACAAAGGCTTGAGGTTGCTGTTGTTGTTGTTGACTCTTGATATGGCAACCAGGAGTGGCTTCTCTCAACCCACAACTGCAACTGAGATCATGAAAGAACATGAAAAATTCAACCTTCCACTTCATGATCTCCTTACCAAAATAGTATACTTGAGGAGCATGTTCTATGCATTTACTATGCATATGTATGACGTTGAGCTGTGAGGCTTGATCTCTAGATATTTGTTCTTCATCTAAATCATGCAGCATTTTCTCCCAAAGTCTTAGTATTTATGAAGGGATGATTGAATATACAAGTCTCAATGGTACTTTTATCCAGATCAGCTTTGATGTCCCCTCCCATCTTGACACCTTCAACTGATAATTCTTTGATTCTACATAATCATTCAACCTTGCATGCTTAGTGCCACAATTAGGACCTTCCTCTAGTAACATGTCGGCAGGATTTCTCTTTACACCAAGTTGCCCTTCTTTATCCCAGTTGTCACTATCAGAGCCTCTAAGGTTATCAATTCGAGGACTTCGTTGTACTTGATCAACAAAACCTTCAAATGTAAACTGTAAGGATTTTCTACAGTGGCTCGTAGGTCCTTACATTTATTGTAGTCTTGTATTTGCAGTGATCTTCAATCCCTGCTCATAAATATCACATTACATGTGTATCTATGTTCACATGGGACTCAGCATCCCTGCAACATATCTACTAGCATCATTGTTTATAGGTATTTGTAGGGAATATTATCATTTGCAAGCAGGTAGTGTACGTTTGTTGACATGTTAATGAGGCTACTAGTTGGACTGCATTCATCACAAATTTATCCATGTATGTTGACTAGCGAGTTAGTGCATACGCTTGCATGTATTTCGGTGTTCATGGTAACTGTCACATGTATTTGCAAGACAGCTATCATCGGTGATAGGGAGATTGTTATATTTGTTACATGTCAACCGTCTTTGCTTGCAAGTGATCTATCATACTTACAGCACATCTATCATCACTGCTTGTAGGTATCATGTAGGGAATATGATCATTTATACACATTAATTGGAAAGCTACTACATCCATTGTTGCTGCTCATAAGCGAATCAATGTACTTGTTTACTAGCTAACAGTTGGTGGTAAGCAGGTTATCTTTACTACAACCTTCACTTCTTCGTTTTCAATCATGTTGCATTCTTCATATGTGATTGTGGGAAAATCATTGTTCTACTGTCTTTTACAAATTGCCCGCAAGGCAAAAACTATGCCTCTTTGCGACCAGGCAACATTGTTTGTATGTAAACTGTATATTTAAATTCTTGGCACACATCTTGGTTATTTGGTCATTACATTCATCACCAGCCAACTTCTTCTACTTGTTGAAAGCCGCTATATTTGTTTATTGTCGACTATAGGAGGTTATTATGTTTGCTTGCAAGTAGAGCACACATCCTCCTCTATTACTGTAGATCAATGCTTGGAGTTCTATTTAACACAAGTCCCATGCTTATTCATTCACATTTGTTTAAATTATTTGGATTATTAATTAGCATTTGCACTTTTAATTTTATTATGCATTTTTTAAGTTTACAATCTAGTTCCCTGTTGTTCATTTTACAAATTATGTTTCCTATCATTCTGTTGAAATTAGGTTTTCCATGTTAATCAAAATTTCGACAACATCCATCGTCTCCCTTGTTTAAGGAAAATTTAGGGAGTTTTAGCCTTCCAGCTATGTCAAGAAAGACGCGCACAGTCGGTGTCGGATGACACTGAGGTCGTAGTTCAATCTCACCATGCCAAGAAAGGCGTGCATGTGTCCTCAGGGGCCTGTCTAAAAAGGCACAATTCTTTCCCCGGTGGCACTAAGCCGCATACATGGGTACTTAAGTTTTTTGTTACCACGCTAAGAAAAGCATGGCTTACATGCCTCGCCACAAACACCGCAACGAGTCCCTCCCACCGCGCTAAGAAATACGCGCATCGATGGTTGCTTGTCGTGCTGCAAGCGCCGAGGATAGGGTTTGGGATTATACCTTTGTGATCGGGTCGACAGCAGCGATGTCGAGATGGCGTCGACGATAAAAATCACAAAATTCCTTTTATTATTATTTTTTCTCTTTTTTTATTTTTTATTTTTCTCCTTTTTTCTTCTTTTTTGTGTCATTTTAATTTTTCTTCTTTTTATAATAATAATAACAATTAAGATTAAGAATAATACAGTAATAATTCACTGATTAAAACAAGAAATGAGATAAACAAAAAGCTAGAGGAAATTTTACCAATTAATAGGTTGTTTTGATTGAACTGAGTTGTTAGTGGGCTGCTTTTGTGAGGAGGATGTGGATTGGATTTCATTGTCAAGGAAGATAACCGTTAGATTGGACTTCACTGTCCAGGGGAGTTCGAACAAGTGTGTGGGCTCTTGTGCAATCAGGGCACGTGAGATGGGAGCAGAATGGAGCTGCTTGTGATTGGTGGAGGTCGAGAGCAGAGATCGGTGCGGATAGGGGCTATGGGATTCAATCAGGACCCATTGGAGTCCGGATGGCATCATAGCGTTGGCATCGGAAGGTGATTGACAGAGGTTCGAACAGAGCTGAGGCGTTCACCCTGGTCGTTTGATCAGGATTGCAGGTGTGGTTTCGGACAATATGAAAAGTTGCGGCTGTTTGCGAGCTGGTCGGGCAACTATGTAGGTGTTCACGAAGGAGAAAGTCAGCTGCAGCTTAGTGAGGTGGATCTTACAGCTATGAGGAGGCGTCGGTGGTTGTAGCTTACGGGCAGGGGTTTCGATTAGATGGAAGGGTGCTGCGGGCTAGGAAGATTTCGAAAGAATCAATGTGAGGTAGAAGCGGGATCGAAGGCTTGAGGTGTGGGCGTGTAGAGGTTCATTGGATCAGCCCTTCAGCTGTTGGATGCTAGCCAAGCTCAACGTGTAAGATCGTGTGGGGTGCGATTCGTGCGGGTTCAGAGACGGGAGGAGGGACCGAGCAGCAAAGAGGATCGTAAGGTGCTCGACAGGACTGGGTGTGAGAGGCTTAGACACGGCTAGGGACACGGTTGGGAGATCGCTCGAGCAAAGAAGAAACGAGGCTTGGCCACTAGGTGGGCTCAAACGTGAAGAAACAGAAACCCTCGTTCGTGGAAGCTTGTGAGCGACGAGAGAAGAAGTAAGCAAACCCTTTCATTTCATTCTCATTTAACGAAGATAAGAGATCGTGCATCTCAACACGGGAGGCTCGTCGTTGACACGTAAGGGACAAACCAGAGGATTTCAGGGATTCAGAATCGTACGAGTAACGTCAACATAGAGCTACAGGTACGGACGCAATTTTTTATTTTAATTTTCATTCGACTGCTATAATAATAATAATGTTGTTATTATTGTTATTATTTAAAATAACGAAACAGAATGGCTCCATTTTTGTGCCATTTTTCATAAATTTGAGCATTATTGTCTCGAGATGAGCGCTGGTTTCTTTGCACGGTTTTCGTTGAGTGAAATTATAATCATTTTCAGATGACTCGGGCATTTCGAACTCAAAGACGAAGTCCGTTTTACGATCGAACATCATTTGGGCAGCGTCGCGCGTTGTTTTCGGGTGTCAGTCGCCGATTTTAATCTGTCTTATCCGATCTGACCACGAGGTAGTCACACTTTGGTAAATTCGACGCTTTGATCGCAACGGTGTGGCTCGTTTGGCAATCGGAGGTCAATTGACCCTTCAAATGATGCGTCGCGCCCGCCGACCGTCACTTGAGTTGTCGGTTTTGCTCCTTTTGCGCGCATTTTAGTGTAGAGGTCAACACAAACCTTGAAGAATTCCTCTATAAGCTCCTTGATTCTCTAGAGACAGCTAAGTTGGTGACTTTAGTCCCCACCATATTGATACTCTCTATGACACTATTTCTTAACTCTCTTTAATACTAATCTTTGTTAACACTCTATATTAATACCTCTATTCAATGGATTTTATTTGTGCCTTCTCTGATATGGATCTCATTGCTAGTTTTATGCATTTAATTCACACTACTCTTCAACAAAATGGTTACTCTACTCTCTACTCTTATAACATTCACAACCTCTAGGAAACAAAATTCACTATTGTTTCTAAGCTCAATTTGACAACTTTTGTCACCTTGAGTTTGTAAGGGTGCATTATCGTATGTATAACATCCCATATGCTAAATTATGTATAGGAGTTTGCATTATTTATTATTGAAATATTCAATCATTATCAAGGATATTCTTAATTATTATATTTTCCTTCATTGTTATTTTCTCTTGCCTATATATAGGCACATACATACGTCAACTAATAAAACATATATATATTCCTATCCAATTCTTTCTATAACATAAAGAAAAAGATATTTCTTTCTTTTTTCCTCTAAAATCATACAAATCCTTGTTTTGATTTCTCATAAGCAAGCAACGAGTCAAAACTTAGACATAAAACAAAATGAGAGCATGCACATGCAAAACAAAGTCGAATTTCAAATTACCTCCATGTTCCCAGTGTCAGGAGCAGCGCAATTAAAAATTTGTGGCGCCCAGACAGAATGGCCCATAATCTCACACAAATATCCATACTCGAGATTGGAAAGACCTGCACCGAGCATGTTGCTGTCAACCCCGAAAGCATTATAATCATTTCCAGCAAATAGTAGTTTCCTTGCTCTAGCAGCACTATCTAACTGCAAAAGATAGATTATCTTACAAGTTATAATCATTGAACTTTTCATTAATATCATAATTGAATATGTATAAATTAGCAAGTATTAGCCCTTCAGATTATTAAAAAACAAATCTTTGTAAAGTATACTAAAGACAAGCAGCAATGGTATTGAAAAATCATATTCGGCTGAGTATTTAGTATCAATGAAACAAAATTTAAGAGAAAATAAACGGCATGGATATGTTTAGGAAATGCATACAGGAATAAACAAATTCCATAAGCCTTCTTTCTTTGCCAGTTCTTTAAGCCGCGATTCTTCAGGATGTATTGTCCAACGCAAACTTGATTGTGCCAGTTCAGAAAACTCTTTTTCCATTGGATATATATGATTTTCCATGAAGTTTAGTAATTTTCTTTTCAGATGTAGAACCCTTTGACTTGGAACAAATTTGCCTTGTTGCTCTTTTGGGAGCAGCTTTTCAGGGTCATCTCTTGATATTTCATGACCTGTGCTCCATAATCAGTGAATCCGGTTAATTGCAACACTTCAAATTTGAAGAAAAACAGAAAGGAAGTAAGAAAAAAAAGGTTATATCTACCAAGACATCAATAGAATCTTCACTGCAACGAATATTCATTTTTATTAACAATCTCTATCCTTCGCTAAAAGCTTGAGTCAGTTAGAATTTACAAAGAAATGAAAATTCAAGATGTGCCTCAAATTCACTCGATGACACCATACGAAGAAAGAACGTCACCACAATAACCAATAAGGTCCCTATTATCCTATGCTTTCAAAGATTTTTATTCCAAAGAAAACTTTCATGGAAAAATATTAAGATGATTGAAATCAAGTACACAATGAAATTTACCACCACCACAAGCAATAAGCTTCATCTTTTTCAAAGAAATTTGATAGGAAACACTTGCGTTCGCAAGTAACCTAACCAAAATCGGCGAACATTCAATAGCAAAACTGCTGTCCACAGCAGGAAAACAGCATAAATCTGCTGTTTACAGCAGAAAAACACCAACACCACAAGGAAATCTGAGAGAAAACTCAAAGAAAAGCTTGTATTTCACTAGAAGATGAATAAAATAGCAAGATACA